ACGTATCATCGTTTTTTGAAAGTCTGTGACGCTGACGACCGCATAGGATGCCAGACCTTGTCAGAGATAGGTTCATACCTGTGAGTTGGGAGGGTTATGCAGGAAATTTGACTTCCAGCCTACCCGGATTTCTTATCAGTGCGGACCTTTGATCTCTGATGTTATGAGGTTCCTATACTTTGGTCTTTTGGTGTTCCGATATTTTCTCGCCAAAGCGAAGCGCTAGTTCATCTCAGTCAACAACACAAAAATCTTGATCCCTGTTGCATTTGCATATTAACATTGACATGTATTTATGTTTTAGGTGTATATTCTTCTCTTGATTCTAGTAAACCAATCCACTATCAGCATGAAGAAAGAAGTAGTGTACAAGTTTCCAACACCAGATATAGGGTCCTTGCTCAACTTGATTTCTGCAGCTGATCACAGTGTAATGGAGGATTTCAAGAAAGACTATGAGAAGATTCTGAGTTATGTCTGCAAAGCTTCATTGTTTGAGTTAGGAGGTCTTCATACTTTGCTTCAGTTCTATGATCCTCAGTTGCGGTGTTTCACCTTCCCAGGATATATGTTGATGCCTACTTTGGAAGAATTTGCCTTGCTGCTAGGAATCCCAGTTCTGGAAAAGATGCCTTTCTACCATTCTGAGGCAGAGCCCAACTTGACAAAGCTTGCAAATTCTCTTCACCTGGATGCTTCTGAGTTAGATGGAAAACGAATTGGAGTACCTGGATTCCCATTGTCTTTCTTGGTAAGCAGAGCTTAGCATTTTGAAAAAGAAGGATGTTAGATTGTCTTCAATGCCATCTTAGCTCTCTGTATCTATGGCATAATATTATTTCCCAATATCCCCGATTTTGTTGACTTGGATGCTTTTCATATCTTCGCCTCCAAGAATCCTGTTCCAACACTCTTAGGAGATGTTTATCATTATGTCCACTATAAGAATGAGAACAGAAGAGGGAAGAGTGTTTCCTGCTGTGTGCCTCTCCTATACAGATGGTTTATTTCGCATTTGCCTAACTCTGGTCCTTTTGTTGACATCTTTGACACTGCTGATTGGTCAGAAAGACTTATGGGTTTAACTTCTGAGAATATTGTGTGGTTCAACAGAGACCTTTTGGGTGTAGAGTTTGTCTACAGCTGTGGTATTTTCCCCAATGTTCCTTTGATTGGGAGAAAAGGGGGCATTAATTATAAACGTGCTCTCGCAGTCAGACAGTTTGGTTATGCTCTAAGAGGACCTCCGAAGGAAGAAGAAATACAGGAATCTCTGTATTTCACCGGTTCAATTGATGTTGAGACCTTAATCAGATTGGAAAAGGCTTGGGGTAAAACTCGCCGTGAAGGAAAATCTTCTTTGGGCAAGAGCGACTGCAGAGGCAAGATTGGAGTTTGTCTTGAATGATGGATCACTTTTAGCATTTGTTTGTTCTTTTCTTTTGCATGATCAATGTGATGTGTTTGGTTGAGACATTTTTCATGTGCTTGCTGCCTAATCCTCTTTTCTCCCACCTTCTCTTTGATCATGGCTTTTCCCTTTAGCTTTGTGATTAGATTTTGGTAAGTGATTGATGTTTGAATGGTTGTAGGAGTTGTAACTTCTCCCATTACATCTCACTTTTCTTTGACTTGTTCAAGTCCTTTTGATCACTTGTTTTTATTGCATAATTTGATTCCCATATTTCATATTTGCATCTTTACATTTCATGTTTGCATTGCTTTTGACCTTGTTCAAGTCAACTTCCTTTCATTTTTCATGTCATTTGTGATTGAATTATCTTGTGTTTACTTGGTCTTTTGCCATGATCCCTTAGGATTCCTAGTCCCTTTGTTTAAGATGGGAGTAGGAGAGACATTAGGTGTTCAATCCTTCATGTGATAACATTAGGATAGATTATTTCCCTCTTAATCCAAACTTTATAAGCATTGTGCATGATAACATTAGGGTTCAGTTTCCCCTTAGTTGTGTCTTCTCTTCTCATCTCCTAAACATCTCAAAACACCTAATAAAGGATAATAAGTGTTGTACGCTACAAGCCTTAAGTACTTGAGGAATGATAGTTGGGGGGCCTCATCTCAATCTGTCTAGGTGTTTAGCGTATGCCCTTTGGGCGATATGCGACGCATTCTCTCTCAAGTCATAGTCTTTAGTGCAACATGAGCTACAAACTTAACTCAATTCACTTCTTGCATAAAAAACACAAAACAAAACATCAAACCTTTTTATCCTTCGGGATTGTTTGGAAAATCATTTTCAGAACTACGTTAATTCTTGGCTCTACCGCAAACAGACATCGTCCCTAACTGCTAGAACCATTATTTAACCCTACTCAGTTAAAACACTCAAACCAATCGGTGGTCGTTTCATCCCGATCTATGTTTGCTCTGATTTCTCATACCAGATGAGAATACGTAGGCACAAGACGGTGATGTCTTGGCGAGCAACCTCCCCCTTCACCCGTAGTTTTCCGAACTACGTTGACTATGACTTTCGCATTGCACGAGGGAATACGTATGCATAGGGCAGCAATGCTCTATCGAGTCAGTTCTTTCTATTCCTCCCCCCCTCCCGTTTAGCAGCAACCTTAGATAGTTTGTTTTACACCCTTTTAGATAGACAACAAGCATGGATCCCGTTGAGTACAACGGACGTGAGGGGTGCTCATACCTTCCCCTTGCGTAACCGACTCCCGAACCCAAGATTTGGTTGCGATGACCTGTCTTCTCTATTATTCGTAGGTTTTCTCTGATTGTTTCCTTTCTCTCTCTTTGGGATAAATAACGAACGGTTGCGACTCTTTTGTCCTTGTCGGCCCTTCTTCGCAGCAATGCGACATAAATCATACAAGAGGTAGAGCGACCATTGAATCTCAAATGGATGACATAGATCTATATTCAAATTCATAAGAACTTTTGAAAATGGTTTCTTGTTTCTTAGACTTTCCATGATGTGATAGAATTGTCTAAAAAGATGCAAAATCCTAGCATTGATTTTGTAGTATCAGGGCACGTGGCATAGACATAGTCACAATTTTTTTTGAGTTGTATGGCAGAAGAAGATGGCACCAACATGCCAAGTGCAAGTGCATTTTTGAGGTATATGAAGACTCATATTGTTGCTTTAGGGTGTGTAGGAGTGGGAATGTGTTGACAAAAAGACTCCAAATACAAGATGGTGTGAATTGTGTTATTCAAAAATCAAGAAAATTTTACAAAATATTGTACTTTAAAATAATTGTTTTAGTTTTGATAAACACTGAGATAAGGTAGCTGAAATATAGAAAGCATGTGAAGATGAAGAGACATACACAACATAAATAACATAAAGATGAGGGATAGAGAAAAAACACCAGAGATTTAAATAGGTTCAGCTTAACCATTTGACCTACTCATATCCTCAAGATTTTCCTCTTTAGAGTTCCACTAAAAAAGTCACTTGAGCTTTTCACAAGATTAGCCCATAAACATTCAACAAAAAGAGTTTTCATAGAGGTTTTGTTCAGGAACAAACAAACCTAACTCTTACATGAGCTTTGATCAGGAACCAACCAGTAGAATTTTTACATAGGTCAAATTCAATAACCTACAAACAGAGTTTTTACATTGGTCAAGCTCAAGAATCTAAACAAATAGAGCTTTTACATAGGTCAAAATCAAGAATCTACAATCAGAGCTTTTACAGAAGTTAAGCTCAAGAACCTACAATCAGAGTTTTTACACAGCTCAAGCTTAAGAACCTACAACCATGCTTTTACACAAGTTTATCTTGTAACATTTTAATCCTTTACAAAATAATTCACGAGAGAATCACACTCTTGGATATAACTGATTAAGTGCAACACTAACTACAACACAACTATCACATAAACCTTCAGTCTTTTAGCACTACGACAATTCTCGTGAAAAAGTAAATTCAAAGATACAGAGAATAAAAGACAATTATAGAGGTTTCTATTTAGAAATCTGGTGTAAAATGAAATTAGAAGAGGTACCTTTTATATAGGAAAAAAATAGACTATAAAAAAGAAATGATACATGGGTCAATTAATTGAGTTAATCAATTAACTATGACTAATAATTGATTAAAACACCTTCAAAAATGAAAACTCTAATTTCAAAAAGAAAACCCTAAAATGGTAATAAGAGTTAATTGATTATCAACTTTTCTAATTTATTAAGAGATCAATTAGATTGAATTAAGTTCTTAATTGATTAGGCAGTGTGTAAACTCCCTAATTTATTGGAAACACTTCCTAAACAATTTCATTTATAATCCTAATTTTATTGTATGAATCTTAATTTCAATTAGGAAAATTATTTTGTGTTGAATCTTAATTTTATTGTATGAATATTAATTTCAATTAGGAAAATTGTTTTGTGTTGAATCTGCTACTAGTGTGTCTCAAAAAATGTAACTACGTAAATGTTCTGGAGATGCATCTCCGAAATAAAAATAACTCAACTTATAAAACGCCACTCAAAATGACCTTTATTAAAAGTGTCTCAAAAAATGCATCTCCAAAAACATAAGACATTTGTAGAAATTCACATGGTACAATAAAGCATATCCGAAATAAAAGTAACTCATCTTATAGAACGCCTCTCATAAGATACATCTTCAAAATTATGGAGTATTTGTGAAAATTCACACGGTCCAGTAAAACATACAGGTACATTAAGAAATGGTTTATGTATTATGCATAGTCCAAAATGCAACATCAGTTTGCTTTTTTAATTCATACATTACTCTGCATTGCTTCATTTAATAGCACATTCGCTTTACTCTTTTTTACAATGTCATTATTTATTTATTTTCATTTTCATATTAAACTAATACGTGTTTTGATCTTTATAACACATTATTTTGGCCTACCTTACCATATTTTGTTCTATAATTATCTTTACTCATTTACATAAAACTCAAATGTCACCTCATGCATGCATTACACTGTTCTATTACTAGTTTCCTACAATTGTAGCCACTATTTTTTTAACATTCAATACAAGTCCAATGATTCAAGGATCCTGCGAGCCTGGATTTGGAGAGCAGTTAGTCTCTGTTCTGGATCAAGCGTTGAGCCAAACTGACTGGCTGCCCATATCAAGGAGGCTGATGTCTCCCCTAGGAGACGCCTTGTGTCTTCGTGTATAGTTGCCAAAGGAGGTGAATCTCTTCCATTGACATGTCCGATGAGCAGCTGCAAAAACTCTCCACACTTTAACCTGACAAATGACATTTCTTTTAATATCAAATCCCAAGATAGCTGAGAAAAATTCAGGCATTGTGAGTATCAAAGATATGGAAGGAATCATGAAATCCAAATAAAAATGTCATTATCATGTTAATTCAATGATACATGACAATGAGAGAGGCCAAGCTAATTCAATGATACATGACAATGAGAGAGGCCAAGCTAATTCAATGATACATGACCATGACAAACAAAACATGACCAGCAAGATGAGAGCAAATATACGAAAGAGAGTTGAAGATCTGTCTGACAAGTATATGAGCATTAAGATGAATGAGACTCGCTGTAACAAGAAACAGTACCTGAGATTTTCATCCACTTGTTTGTCTCTTATAAGGTTGGCAACTTGCGTAATACCATTATATTTCTCGAAATCCTGATAGAAAGAGAAATTTCAAGAAGTAAACTAAGAGAAAATGTTCTTCTGTGGCAAGCAAAGACAAACTCTCAGCTAAGCATCAAGAAGAGGAACATCAATTAGCAAATCATATCAGCTAAGCCAAGACACTCATATGTCTAAGCTAAAATAAAAAGAAAAGGCAAAACCCTTTTTTCTTTTTTTGGTAATGGTAACTGCCAAACTATTGTATTTAGAAACTCTTCTTTACTAAACCACAAATAATGAAGAAATGATAACCTCAATTTATAAAGCATAAATGGAAGGTAAAAGAAAATACATGTTAAAACTAGAATGATAGAATAATGAAACACATTCGTAAACGATGTAAGGGCAAGGGTTAGGCACCATTTGATTGGGTGATGAATCAACCATCAATGAGATCAGAGCATCTAAGCATGCACTTTGCTCAAGAACTCCACGGGTGGATAGTATATTCAACAAAACCTGAAAGGTAGCAACATATTTTCATAAACAAATTGGTTTGAGTTTAGAGAGTGGTAAGTGGGTTGCATATGATTGGAGTGCCATGCTCATATCTAAGGGGTAAAGTTCTTTATTTGCTGTAAAATTTGATATGAGAAAGAGTTCTTGCTATGGCTTATTCTGCATTCAACTTTCACTTGTAGTACTAGGGGGACTCATGGCTGAAAGTGCAAAGAAATTGCAGGTTTTTTCCTAATAAAAAGAATGGTTGATATATAAATAGGAATTGCAATGTCTGCCACAGTGTGTTTCCCATGAAGTTATTGGAATATACCCAAAGACACTGTTACAATGTTATGTGCTTATGTAAGAACTAGTCAGCACGAGACTGTCCATAAGCAGAAGAGGAGGGAATCACTGGATCAATTTGGTTGTTGGCTTTTCACATTGTTTGTTGTGCCTTTGTTCTTTGAGGAGAATAGCATATCTCTTGTCCTTGTTTTCTTTTTGGGCATTAAATCTTTTGTTTAACAAATAAACATAAAATTTCCAAAATGTATAATTGATGAAAAAGTCATTCATTATTGTAATAAGCCTTTATCCATACTAAAGAAGTCAAGAGAACCAAAACCTTTGAAATTTTAAAAATAAATGTGAAGTATTTGGAAGTGTTTACATAATGAATTTGAGTGTTTCTTTTACAGATTGCTTGACTTTGACCTTTGTTATCAGAGGATGATTTCATAAAATCCATATTGGTTTTCTATCTCTCTTTTCAAAAAAAAATTACAAGCTTCCTACCAAAAAAAAAAAAATTAATATTAGAAGCTACTGTTTTATAAATAAAGTTGTTGGGAGGAGTCTTCCTAGACATGAAGCTTCTATGGCATGGTTACTTTATGATGATTCAGCTTTCATAGAGAACATTTATGGTGGCTTGCATGTTATCTTTCTTTTCATATTGAGGATCCAAATGATATAGTATATGATAAATGAAATTTGTTATATTATGGTTAAGAAAATATAAATGTAATATTTTTTTAAACATTTGAAGTTTATTTATGTCAAATTATTTGTATTACATAAAAATGTAAATACATAACAATTTGGTTGTTACTAGAAACGAAAACAATTAATTTCCATCGTCCAATTAAAATCAATATATTAGTTTTTACTGAGAAAAAACACTTAAATATTCTTTTTCTCTCCAATGAATGTGTCTTCTTCTTCCTTCCCTCAATATATTTTCAAAAGTAACTAGTTTCATCTTGTTTTAGACCAAAAAAAACATGACCAAACAGTTAAGCAATTGAAATAAAATCAGGTTATGCTTCTAAGAATTATGCTTTCACCCCCAAAAATAGGAGACACTGAAAGCATGGTAACATTATCATCATATTCAACTTCTATGGAGACGCCTAAAACCATTTTAGAAAATGGAAGTGATTAAGTGCTAGGCTCTGTGATTCTTTCTTGTTCTCACGTTTTGGCCAGTGTTAAGTGCCCTGCAACAAGTTCAAGTGCCTCATAATTGACTTATCATACTATAAATACGTTCTTATAAAATTTTATGGGGATCTTTTGATCACTTTTTTCACCTACAAATCTCTGTCCTAGCAAAGACTACTAGTTGGAAACACGACAAATGGTCATTTCTTTGTGAATCGTCCATGGATGATTCTTGTTATTCCTCTTTACCCTTTATCTCGTTTTATTTCTGTGTCTTGCTAAATCCTCTTTGTCGAGGATAAATATTATTAATGAAAAATTTATGTATTTGATTTGAAACTTGGATATTTGAATTGATATTCATGAGTCTATTTGCTTATCTCTTCTTTTAATGCTTTCTATGACTTGATCGCACTTTAAAGTTTTATGATTCATAGGTTGAATGGAAGTTTAATCCTTGAATGCTAGAGTTTAAGAGTTCTTGCTTGTTTATCTAGGAATTTGATGCTTGGAACCACTCTAAAACTTCTGCCCTTAATGTTTATTCTTAATTAGGGATTAAATTAAATTAAGTTTAAGGTTCTCTTACCTAAAGGGTAAGGATAGGATAAAAAACTCACTAACAACTTGGAAAATAAATTCATAATAATAATAAATTACTTAAGGTTAAAATCAATTGAAACAGGTCTCTATAGTTTTTATGATCCGGTAATCATCCTTGTGTATTTCTATCTAAATTATCTCACCAAATCAAACGTGTTGGTGTTACCCGTTCAAATTTTCATTTAAACTGACACTCAATCTTTGTGATCGATAGTTGATTGATTCTTAACTGTTCTATTACTTGCAACCTTGTGCTACACTTGTTATGATGTGATCCTATCAGTGACAACAAAAGCTAGTAAATAAATAGAACAAAAAAGTGAAGATAACCTGAACAGCATTGTGTTGATGGGCAAGAGTAGTACTATGTGGATGAAGCAAACAACATCCTTCCAAGACTCTAAGAGCAAGTGCAATTTCATCATCTGTAGACGGACTAGTTAACTTCATAGGTTCCACACCAAATATATGACTCATATCTCCTACTAGCTTACTGTAATTGTGATCATTGCTCGTTTCCTTTAACGAGTGCTGAAAGAGAACCGGAACCACTGTAATCAAAGTAAAACCACTCTAAACAAATTGAAAATTTTGAAATAGTAACAATAATGACAACGAAAATGCGGAAGAAAAAAAGTGACCTTGAAGTTGGGGAATGGATTGGGTTAGGTTAAAGAGGTAAATAGTAGAATCGGAATCAGCAATGGAATTGAGGAAATTGAGAATGGAACGGAGAGCACGGAGACGGAGGAACGAGAATTCGGCGCGTGCGTCTGGGAGACCGGCGGTGAGAGCGAGAGTAACTTCCCGATATACCCTTTGTTGATGAAGTGAATTCACGAGCTCCACCACGGAAGCATTTGGATCTGATGATCCAGTTGGATTTTGTTTCTCTGTTTCGATCCCTTCACTCCAGAGTGGTTTCTTCAAATACATGATTTGGATTTTGTTAGGGTTAGTGATGAGTCATGGTTGAAATTGAATTGGGGCAAATTGGGGTGAGAGATAGGGTTTTTGAAGAATGTCAGGAAGAATTGGGATGAAACTCAAAATGTGAAAACATCAGTTCGGGGTGTTTCTCCCTTTGTTCTGTTTTTTTTTTCTCTTTAATTTTCATTTTGTGGAGATGCGTGTATGTATTATTATTGTTTGTTAGATAACTTTTTTTTTTCTTTTGTATTATTTTGTTTATAATTTCAATTTATAATTTTGTTTTTGACAACTCTTGTTTATTAGTTTCTTATGTAATTTTATTTTTTTAAGTTGTAATTGTTTTACTATGATCGACCAGAATTGGATACTATCTATCTATTATAATTTAATCGTATAATCTACCAAAATTTTTCTTTCATCACAAATTATGTATATTAACACAAAAATATTTTAGTAATTAATTAATATCTACTTTTCTTTATTCTTATTTTCTATTATATTATAATAAATGACATTCATTTATCAATCTCTATCGATTAAATTACAATTAAATATTACATGCACACACTCTCTCTTCATTTAAATTTTAAATTTTTTCACATTTTCTCACTTTCATTTTATTTTTATTTTTTCTATTTATTTATTATCACTAAAAATATTAATAATTTATTTTTTAATTTTAATAAAATTAAAATTTTATTAATTTCACGGGTCACTGTCAATACAATATCTCTTTTATTTTAATTCATCATTGTCTTAATTTGAAAGAAATTATATTTGTTCATTTTATTATTAAAGTAAATTATTTGAAATTTTACATTTGTATCAAGGTACATTTTATAACGCATCAAATAATTTTTTATTTCACGGATCATTATCTTATCAAAATTTTCTTTTTTGTCTTTTTTTTCATCTTAGGAGTCTTTTTTTTTTCTTTTTGCATGAATATTTCATACAATTGAGATTGCATAATAATTTGTTATTTTACAAATAAATAACTCATTTCAAATTTATATCTGTATATAAATATATTTTATATTGTATCAAATAAACTTTTTATTTCACGGGTCACTGTAAACATAATACATATTTTATTTTAATCAATAATTACCTTTAATTTAAAAGAAAAAATCCTTATTTTCAAATATTAATTATTGCCTTTTTTTTCATCTTACGAGTCTTTTTTTAATCTTTGTATTTTAATACAATTGAATTTATATAATTATTGTTCATTTTAAAATTAATAGCAAATTTCAAGTTTATATATATATATATATATATATGTATATATATATACACACACACACACACATTTTATATCGTACAAAATTTACATTTATATTTAAACATATTTTATACCGTGTCAAATAATTTTACGTGTGCGGAAACACGGGTATTTTACTAGTTCCTCATAGTAATTTTTTTTTTGGAAAGAACGAAATTACATGGTCGTCCTCAAGCCAAAATGACATAACATCACAAAAGATGATCATGTCAGAACTGAAGCAAGCTTTCCAACAAATCTAAGTTGGGGACGTTTTGTAAGCGGCCTCTCAACCTGAAGCTCTTCAAGTTTAAAGTTTGAATTCAAACCTATCACACTCTCTGGATGGGGAGGGGGTCAGACATCATCTATCGCGGTCTGATTAGGTGAAATTCGAGCTTCCACTTTAGCATGGGGAACTAATCTTAACAATGGGATCAGCCGGTGTACGTGGAGTAAAAGCCATATCAGTCGACAAGGTACTTGTAATACCCGTTAGAATGGAGGTATCTCAAAATCCCTCCTTATCAATTGCATTTCTTTTTCACTATTCATCGCATATAAGGGAAAAGTAAGGAGGCGGGACATGGTAGTTCAACCAAACAATCAAGAAAATGAGATTTTTATGTCACTTATCAAAAATGGTTTTCCTCTCCTTTTCTAATTTATCATCCACCAGCCGACCAGGTCTGGATGAACCTTTTCAATATTTTTCCTGACGCCACATCATATGGAATAATATTGTTGACATAGCCAAGATCCTTGCAGAAGGCCACTGGTTACTTTTTTAAGTATAACTATTCCTATGACAAGTCATCTTCCTTTTAAACATTAGATCCATCCCCCATCAAGAATTGACTTTGGCTCCAGAATTTACGGAATAAATTTGTACGCACACATGAAGGCCCACATTCTAGTTTATAGATATCCGTGTGAAATTTTTATGTAAGAAAGATTAGCAGAAAGAAGTGATCCTTGAAATGCTTCATGCTATTAGAGTAAGTCTCGAAGAATCTAGAGTTTTGCCTCATATAAAGTATGCATGAACGATGTGCATAATTTAGAATTTTTTAGTATTAAAGAGATGGAAGAACGGTGTCACACAGAGATTATCAAGTGGAAAACCTTGACAAACGCCCAACTCATCGGATGCAACTACGAATGGGGGATCATCAAGTGGTTCATAACACTAAATTCAAATTCATTAAAAGGAAGACAAAAGCCTATTAGAGAAAATAAACATTCGTGAAAGGGAAACTCACACCCATCATATTGGCGACATATCCTCTTATTTCCATATGAGGGAAACACTCCCTAGTCGAACAAAAGATCCACATAAATTGAAGTATGGTCTAAGACACCCTCATAGGTAAAACAAAGATGGTTTCCAATATTTCCCGATCCACCAAACCACCAGAGATATCTTTGTTTGCCTTCTTAGTCGTAGTCAATGTAATCTCAATAGTTGGAAGTGATATGAAGAAAAACCAAATATATACAAGATGTGATAAGTAAGAAAGCTTAGACACAATCACCCCTAATAGAAAATACCAACCACGAAAGAAATCCCTCAAAAAAGAAACAAATGTATCAAAATTCCATCATTTAGGAAACTCTAGAAAATGGGGTAAGATCATGGAAAGAAGTTAGATTTTTCTTAAAGAAGATAAATCGATTTGTCAAGTAAGTAGAGTACTGACGAACAAAATTGTATGAACTTGACCAAATGTTGGAAAAGGAAAGATCGCCAGAAAAATGACAAGGGAAGTATAAAAGAACTATTTTGCAGGTCGCTAATGGCAGAAATGGTCTTGAAGAACTTTTTGTTGGAAAAAATGTAATTTTGCCATGAATTAACTTGCCCAAACAAACCTCAGGAGCAAAGTTGTACCAACAATCAATAACAGACCTAATATCTTGGAGAAAATGATCCCCGACAATAACTTTATTTTGACACATATGCGTTATCAGCCTTTCTCATATGCCGAGTTTGGGGAAAAGGAACTTTTTCTGCCCAAAGCGAGTCAGGTCTGGGATCTTTCCCATGGCCTTCTTTCTATGAACATGAGCGAACTCTTTTATATGTTGTATCTAAATCTTCAACGTTTCAAAAAGTAATATTTCTAAATATCATCAAAGATTTATAAACCTCCTCAATCTAATAATTTTGAAAAGATAGATCATCATAGATCATTTATATATTGGTCAATGTTAAATGTAATTGAGACATTGATTTGAGAGTCAACACGAGATATTGTTTTTACTTTGGGATTTTTCTTTATGAGAAACACACTTTGTGAGAGACATACCATATACTCGCCCAAAACCTCAAGGTGATAGGTGTGCAAGTTCTGCCAATTACAAATGTTAAAGTCTCCATTTTCTAATCAATGTGAGACTTCTCCATACACACTATTCACACTTGTTTTTCTTAACAAATGTCACCCGCTTGGCATGGATATCTCTCTTAAGTCAAATTAAATAGGAACACGTTGAAAAAATGTATGATATTTATCGGGTTTGGCTTAAGTAACTTTGGGAAGGGAAAGACGATGTTCTATAATTTTCTCAAGTACACCGTACCTTACAATGTTTCTTATTTATTCTATCTCTCGTCAATCTCTCCTTATGTGTGTGACCGTGTAAATTCTCGTGACGTTGACAATTATATTAAATTATACGTTTAATATAATAAACAGTGAGTGATATCTAACATCACATCACTGCTACCTAAGTCACGAAAATGTCACGTGATTTGACAAAATCTTTTCGTGATAATATTATTGTGTATAATTCCTTTTGCCCTCATGTCTATTTGAACACAAGACATAGATCATGTCACCCTTGTCTAGTTCAATCTTAAACCCTTACACATTTATACTGTTAAGCAGGATGACCAAATTTTATCTAGGCAAATTATGTCCCTTAGCATGATTTGTGGAGTACCCATCAATTGTCTTTATAGTCATCCGGTTAGGGAAAATGTTTTATCAGTTATAAAGAACTCGACTCCATATCTAGGGTCCATACTAATTTCAGGTCGAATGGTGGTATACACCAATAACACCATGGGAATATCTTATGACACTTTTGCAGAATATTCTATGTAGTATTCTTAAAGCGGGTCAATCTGATATAAATATTTCTATTAATATTCATACATATGTTATGACTTAGTAACTATTATTAATGATCCACGAGATATAATCATCAATCTATCCATATAATAGTCGTAATGCATCAATGTCATCCAACTTCACAATAAAGTTCGACTATTGATACTTCAAAAATAGTGTCCTTATGTTTAATGGGATCTCATGATTAAGTTACACTTAACATTTCATAAAACGAATTAGCTATTCTAGAGAGTTTATTATTTTAGAAAAACAAACATAATAAAAAAATATCTTTTATTATCAATAAATAATTTGATACAAGTAACAAAACTATTAGCCTCTAGGGCTTACACCAACACTATTTTGCTAGTAGAAAAATGTAATTTCACCATGAACCAAATGGCCCAACCGGACATGGGGAGCAAAGTTGTCTCAATAATCAATAACTGACCTAAGATCTTAGAGAATTGGATCCCCGACAATAACTCTCTTTTGACATATAGGCGTTATCAGCCATTCTCTTATGTAGGGTTTAGGGGAGGAGAAAAATTTTCTGCCTGAAGCGAGTTAGGTCTAGGATCTTTCCCATCGTTTTCTTTTTGTGAACCTGAGCGAATTCTTTT